ACTGCCGCTCGACCTGACCGAAAAAAACCGTAGCAGGAAGCTAGCGAAGTCGTAGCATATATCGTCACAAACAGAACTGCCCGGTAAACCATAGGCAGAGAGAGAGAAGAGGACAACAAACGAGGGGCTGTGACAAACTGTTTTGTCGGAGTTTCACCGACTCATCAGGAGGCTGAACCCTCAACAGTCTGCAGAATATATAATATGTATATTGTGGTACCATGTGTGTTTTCTTGAATGTATGAGAATGATGATGATGATGATGATGACGACGATGACGACGACGATGATGATGATGATGATGATGATGATGATGATGAAAATAATCATGATGATAATGGTGACGAGGATGACAAGGATGTGATAATGTGGTGATCGTGATGAGGATGGTGATGTTGATGATGATGATGATGAGCACCTGGTAATGTTTGCGACGGAATAACGGTATTGATTACTGAATGTTTGTGGCCGTTCTGTGTTCTTCGTTGCAGCCTTCCTGATTCCACTGATCGAAAGGTTAAGATCGCACTCTCCTGTCGCCGGTGCAAGAGCAGTCATTCTCTCGCCAACACGCGAGCTGGCGTTGCAGACATTCAAGGTATTCCCCTTACTCCCATGCCATTATTGACACTGACTATCTTCTGAGAAAAAAAGGTTAATCGCCGGTGATTGTGTTTGGTAGTATTGGGACACCATTATTGAACCTCCGGTACCTTCCGCAGCTATTTTGTTCCAATGATACACTGACTATATACTATGGCTGCATCAACTGGGGCCTGACCTACCGGACGGAAATGGCCGGTGGGGCCGGGCCAAAAAAATAAAATAAAAAAATTGTGCCCGCGCTGTTTGGTGCGCGGCAGCGATCGGGATCGGGATAAAGAGGCTTGGGAGGTACTGAGTCCCCAGGCCGGGCTAGGTACTGCTGGGCTGCTCAAGAGTCGCAATGGCCTGTGTCCTGGGGCCGTCGGAGCTATCCTCCCGTCGGCGGTCTAGCATGCAGGCCGGAAGTCTGCTCCAGTCGCACTGGACAAGAAACGGCCTGCCTGGATCCCGGCCGGTATCCAGGCGTCCCAAAGCTGATGTAGCAGGGATGTCCGAGAAGCGGACAAGCGCTGGACCAGCACTAAAGACAAAACCTGGTTCAGCTCAGCTGCGGACAAGAATCTGCAGGGCATGAGCAACTGCCGCTGGGCATGAAAAAAAAAAAAACAGCCCTCCACGTCCACAACTGGTTCGAACAGACGCAAGGGCACAAGTGCCTGTTAGGAAAACCGAAGTTAGGACCACACATCTCAGACCGGATAGAACGTGGAACGGGCGGAGGTAAGTCATGAGTGAGTGGTGTTGTGTGCGGTGTGAGTATTAAGGACACTAGAGCCATGCAGGGGTGGGGTGGATATCCCGCGGCTGCTACGGTTCAACTGTTTTTTGTACACCGTCTCATGGATGTAGTGGTTAAAAAAAAAAAAAAAAGTCTTGGCTCTTGAGGCTGAGGTTGCCGGTTCGAATCCGTGCGTGCAAGGAGAAGGTCCGAGCCCCCAGTACTGATCAATAAATCACTGGAACCGACAAAGGTAACCTGAAAAATAAATTGAAAAATCTCAGAAAATAAGTAAATCCATTCAGAAAGTCCATATCAGACAAACAACCTACGTCGTACCTATATGGATGTCCGGAATTTTTGTCCCATGGCCCTTTAGGAACCCAAAATAAGGTTCATGTGGCCTAGGGCCCCATAGGGCCCAATGTCGGCCCCCTAGAGCCCATGTGATGTGTCCTAGTATGCCACATAGATAGATGGATAGATAGATAGATAGATAGATAGAGATAGATAGATAGATAGATAGATAGATAGATAGATAGATAGATAGAGAGAGAGAGAGAGAGAGAGAGAGAGAGAGAGAGAGAGAGAGAGAGAGAGAGAGGGTTGGGCTAGGAATTCTGTGAGGACGAGCGGTGCAGCCTGTTTGATTATCGGAAGAGAAAGACGTCCATGACCCCATGATTGCCTCTCCCCACCTGCATCTCTCAATCACCCTCTCTCTCTCTCTGTGTCTCTGTCTCTCTTGCTTGTGCAAAGGGTGCAGCTAATGTGATCATCATCCCTTTGCACTCATGAGAGACTTCTGTCGGTTTGAGGATGTTGGGTCCTGTTTTGGAAATTGGAAAGGCTTTGTCTTTCTTTTCTTTTCTTTTTTTAATACAAGCGGACCCGCTGCAGCTACGCTCCGCCAGTGGAGGGGGACCAAAGGCAGAGGCAGGGGGGATGGCGAGGGGAGAAGATGAGGAGGAGAAGATGGGAAAGCAGTGAAAGGAAGACGGGATGGGAGGAAGGGGGGAGTGTGAAATGGTCAGTGCAAACGGAAGAATTTTTTTTTTTTGAAGAATGTACGTGTCTCTATGGAGAGAGAGAGAGAGAGAGAGAGAGAGAGGACGGGTAAGTTGTCAACGTTGTGGCTGGCGTCATGGCACTTTCACCGATAGGATGAGCAAATGGAATGAATCTAGCGGTAGAACATGGAAATATACACTTGTTTTTCTTTGTTTGTTTTTGTATGTTTGTTTGTGTGTGTGTGTGTGTGTGTGCGCGCGCGCGCGCGCGCGAGAGAGAGAGAGAGAGAGAGAGAGAGAGAGAGAGAGAGAGAGAGAGAGTTCCCATCCCCTTCGGTGCTTGTGCGTTCGGCCCTTCCTACCGCGTTTCCCACCGTTGTCTCCTTTCCACTGCGTCCTTAGGACACGCACGACGATCGGGGTCCGCGACTGTCTGCTTATGGGCCCATGTGTTCCCGCCGTGCCCTCCTTTCCGCTGCGTACTCGCGACGCGCATGACGTTCCACGTCCACGACTGGGACCTGATTGGCCCGTCCGCCTGCATTTCTCCGGCCGTCAGCCCCTGTTCCACCGGTTACCACTTCGGCACTGGCCGTCACCGGTCCCGCGTGGAGGCACCCGGTTTCGGTTGGGCCCCACGCGAGGACCGCTGGTTGCTTTAGTAGTATAGGGAAGAAAAAGGGCTATGGCGTCGAGATATCCTTAATGAACTGACCGGCCCCAGGTAATCCAGTATTATTTTTAATTACTTTGTTCATTTGATTGCATCTGGGTTTCAAACTCTGGTCTGCGTGTATTTCAACAGTTCAGTTCAGGCAGGGGTGTTTTACCAACTGAGCTAGACCGTCGGCAGGTTTGTCTTTTTCTTTCTTTAACCTCTGTGCATTTTGTGGACGTGGTGTGGCGAGTTTGGGAAATTGGAATCGGTTCTCTCTTTCTCTCAGGTTTGTGCACTTGAGAGGAAATTTACTTTTTTTTTGGTTTCGGAACGAGTTTCTCTATCTGAAATTTTCTGTTTTTTTTTTTTTTTTTCCTTCTTCTTCTAATTTTTGGGGTTTGTGGTCGATCTTGGCCAGTTCACGAAGGAGCTCGGGCGGTTCACGGATCTGCGTGCTACGCTGTTGGTCGGAGGCGATAGCATGGAAGAACAGGTGAGGGTGACTTTTCTTTTCCTACCTCCCCCCCCCCCCTTCTCTATAAATAAATATATTTATTATATTTATTGGCTTCTCCGTGGCCTGGAATCCGAACGGAACGACCTGTGCATTTTTCTTTCCGGGACATTTTGTCGTTTTCTTCTCTTTTCAAAGCGTGAAGAACTGGTGTTAGGCTTCCAGCGACTTGACTTCCAATGCTATGAAACCATCAGTACTGCCAATGTGGATTTCTGCTACGTGCCAGCGGGCTCTTTTTTTTATTATCATTTTCATGATTATTTATTTTATGCCTGGTGCCGTCAGCTGTTTTGGTTCAGGAGGCCGAGGCCCGAAGGTTGCGGTGAGTTTACAGCCAAGTGGGAACAAAATAAAATGACTGGGAAAAGCTGGTGGGATAGTGACACAACGACATATTCTGCTACTGTCTTCACCGGAATAGAACGGCCGGTCATTATGACTGTATCTAGACTGAAAGTAGCATGGAATACAGCTATAATGACCGGGCGTTCTATTCAGGTGAACACGGTAGTTCCATCACAATGAGATCTGCACCGTTGCTGATTACATGATCCGATGGCATGAATGGTGTGTTAATCATTTTGCAACGATCGATGCGCCAAACAAATAAATAAATAAACAAATTAGTAAATCAATAAATGTAGAAAAAAAGGATAAATAAACAACTAAATAAATGAGCAAATACATATATTTTTTGTCGTTTCATTCCTCAAATAGCTAAAATACCAGAGTGCCCCGGGACCACTTGCCTGGCCGGGCCAAAAAAAAATAATAATAATAAAAAATAAAAAATATTTTCAGCCTTCTGATGAGTCGGTGAAACTCCGACGAAACAGTTTGTCACAGCCCCTCGTTTGTTGTCCTCTTCTCTCTCTCTGCCTACGGTTTTACCGGGCAGTTCTGTTTGTGACAATATATATATGAGTCGGTGAAACTCCGACGAAACAGTTTGTCACAGCCCCTCGTTTGTTGTCCTCTTCTCCCTCTCTGCCCTACGGTTTACCGGGCAGTTCTATTTGACGATATATATAAATAATGTTTTTTATTTTTATTTTCAGTTTTAATTTGCTAAAGAATTTCGCTGTGACCCTCAGGTGAAAGTTGTTCAGTTTGTTTTCTGCATAACTGTTTTTTTTTTTTTTTTTTTTTTTTTTGTCAGGGATCTCCCCTGGCCCTTGCCCAGCCCGACCAAGGTGGGCGGCCTGGTCGGTAGCCCAGTCAAATATTCAATTACTCTCGTATTTGACATATTGTATAATGAGACTTTTCTTTAAATCAGTTTGGAAAGAGATTGCGAACATGTTAAATACTCTGCCCTATGTTGTGGGAGAACGCTAATATCAGCAACGGTGCTGGTTGCGTGTCATCAGTGTTTACTCCGGGCATCCTCTCCGAAGCAATGCATGTGTGCTCGTCCTGGGTGTGAGCGGGGCTGGGGGCTGTGAAAGAAAAAGAAGAGTGCTCTTCTTTTTTGAACACGCCCCTGCAGGCCCAGTGCCAATCTTCTCTGGCCGTGCTGCACTGTGTGCACTTGCACATATCTCTCTCTGTTTTGGGCCTCATTGTTGTTGATGACGATTTGTTGGTGGCCTGGACTATGACGTGTTCACCTGAATAGAACGTTCTGTATTATGGGCATTATCACTGCATCTAGACCGGAAGTTGACCTAAATACAGCTACAATGACCTTGCGTGCGTTCTATTCGGGGAAGGCAGTAGATGGTGCGTCTGAATCGTCGGAGTCATGAGGCATCTTTGAAATTGGCACAGCAAAGGAAAAGAAAGAGGAAGATTTAGTGCGTTCCTTTCCGTGCTTATTTGTTTGTTTGTTTTTTAACGAGTGCCTGCCAACTGCTTGTGAACGGCTATAGGGCCTTGCTGCTCCACACACCGCATGCACAAAAGACAAAAATGCTGGCAGTGTATCTTTCCGTGTTCTTGCGGAAGATTCATTCTCCTTTTGCACATTTGGTGAGCGGTGGAGCACGGCCCAGGAATCTGGTGACCATTCACTTTGGCATTGTGAATGTTTGTGTTGACGCTGTAGAAATTTGGATTTGCCATCTGCGTCCGTTTTCTTCGTGGCGGTGTCCGATCAAGGCTGTCAAACCGCCAGTCAGTATCTCCTCCGGGCCTTCATTTGTGTTTTTCGTGGCCCCGGATTTCTGCTGCACGCCAAAAGAAGTAGAGCCAGCCGAGGCTCGAAATATCTTCTTCTTTTTTGCCTGGTGGGGCCTGCCAAACAGATGCGGTAGCTAGAGCCTCAGGCCAAAATGGGTTTAGGGTTTAGGGTTCAGGGTTATGGACGCAACTGATGGATCTCTGTGGTCGTGCTTCGGCAGTTCGAGGCGCTCTCCAACAGTCCGGACATCATCATCGCTACTCCGGGCCGTCTTATGCATCATTTATCTGAGGTCGAGGAGATGTCTCTGCGCAGCGTCGAGTACGTCGTGTTTGACGAGGTGCGAATCTTTCCAACCCAGGATGTGGGTTCTCGTTGAAAATCCTATTTGTTTTTCAGTTTACACAGCATGGTGTGGTTTTTGCTTAAAGCTACTCGCAAAACGAAAAAGAGTTGGTCGTCATGTACCACACCACATCCTTGAGTATGGCATCCCAGTCACAGTAATCCCCTGGAGGGAAGAGGAGTGGAGGGAGGCACGTCTGTGATCCCGGTGGGAGAGTAGTACATCTACCGTCTTCCCCCTACTTGTGCACCTACCTGCGCAACCTAGACGTCGTGCAAAGCAGTCAGACATAGTATGACCTGAAAAATTGCATGTAACAGAGAATGAAAACCATTCTACCTCCTTCCGCCGAATATAACGCTTCATCATTGTGAATGGGGCATCGAATGTGGTTGGAAAGTTTTTACCTCCTTCCGCCGACCATACCCCCCTCTTTCCGGCCAAAATGCAATCGTGATGCTGGGGTGGGGTGGGTAGGTCACACCTACCTGCATGGAATGGAACGAGTGCATGGCGTGCCTTTGCCGGAAGTTTTTGGCAGCAATGCCTTTTCAGGGTTCACCAACAAGAGTGGGGGTAAAGAGGAGCGATGCCACGGCAGAAACGCAAAAGACTTCTAAACGAAAAGTTTCGGTGGCCTGTTCGTCCGTTGAGTTTACAGTGACCCCCCCAAACTCGTATCATCCATGCATATGTCGTTTGCGTGCAATGAAGATTGGTTGGTGGAGCGAAGGCCTGCTAATGAGTCTCTCTCTCTCTCTCTCTCTCTCTCTCTCTCTTTCAAACACTCATTACATGCCTCTGTTATACTCCATGTTGCTTGCTATAGAGGTGAAACTGTTTCATTGTTGGATTGTCTCAATTCGAGGGCTTTCGTTGTCTGCAATAGGATTGAATATGCTTTGATTTTGGATCTGCTCATTTGGGTGGAATGGGGGCTGTTGTGGTGAAAATTCTAAACACACACACACAAGAAAGCAGGAGTGGCTGTAGTCTCCTCGCAAGATAGTAGCCCTGCGCACGTGTGTCACGCTCCATCGAAGGGTCGGCTCTAAGTCGGGACACCTCGTGTTTTTCAACTTTTTGCTTTTTTTTGTGTTTTCAATGGTTGTGATTTTTTTCATCTTTTTTTTCGCCTTTGTGAAAAGATGCTGCGCGCTTCATGCTTATTCCCGCTGGTCCAGAAAGTGGCCTCTCAAAATCACTTGCGCCATCATTTCGCAAAAAGAAGGCGTGTGTGGGCCCACATCACTTCGCCCTCCCAGAGGGCCCGCTTTTTTGTGGCATGTACACGGCCATGAGTGGGTTGTGTGGACTTGAAAAAATAAAGTTTTCGGTGCGGGACTGGTGGTCTATAATGTGGACTTGAGAAGAAAATAAAATTTTCCGCTCAGTTTTTTTATTTTATTTTAGAATTCTAATTCTAAAGCTCAAGAAGTCTCTGTATGTTGTGGCTGTGGGTTGTGTGCTATAGGCTGACAGACTTTTCGAGATGGGATTTGCTGATCAGCTTAGGGACATCTTGCACAGGATGCCAGATGCACGGCAGGTGCGTTGCTCCTCTCTACTTTTCATAAGCTCGTTTTCCCTCCCCCTCCATTCGACTCTCTCTCCCTCCTCCCCCCTCCC